CTTTCCCTGCCACCAAGACCACAGAGACACCCATCCCCACCTGGCACCCACCTTGCGGGTCTCCACCTCAGCAGGCTCAGGAGTTGGAGTCTTGACAGATGGGGGCACAACAGGTGATGTCACCTCCTCCTGCTGTGGCTGCTGAGGCCGAGGCAGCCCAAACGCTGTCAGAGGGTAGATCCCGTTCCTAGAAGGAGATGAAAACAGGCATATGGACCTGTCTTCAGGCCTCAGGACACCCACCCCTGCTTCCCAAGAATGCCTGCCCTCTCACTCTTCTCTCACCTGACATCTTCAAGGAATTTATCTAATTCCAGAGCTGGCGATTGAGAGTACCTAGAGGGGGGGGGGAAAGGATGAAGATGGAAGGAAAGAAACAAGCAAAATAGTAGCTTCAACCTTTCCCAGAGAATGGGCAGTTAATAGAGTCTCAGACCTGAGTCTGTCCCCTGCAGATCCTCTCAGGTAGTTACTCACAAAGTCTGAACTGGTTCTCTTCCTGGCCCTGCAGGGATTTCAGCCAATACAGCACTGGTATCTGTGTTCTTGGTGATCTCCTCCAGGGCATTCTCTGGGATCATGTCTAGAAGGCATGATGGAATGGGACATGAAAGAGAGGGTCAGATTCATGTCACAGAGGGCATAGAGGCAAAGCAGTACAGAATATCTTTGGGAGAGAGAGTATGCCAGTGATAGTTAAAAGGGTCTAGATTAGAAGAAAATTCCGAAGTACAGCCAGGGGACTCACGTTGGTGTCCCACAATGCAATGGGCAGCAAGGAGCTTGAGTGAGGGCACTTCAAACAGTGCTGGATGGAACAGAAGTTCTCTGGCTGTTGGTCTGCGAGCAGGCTCAGACTGCAGGCACTTTTGAATGAATTCCTAGAACAGATAACGAAGAACTAGAACAGGCATCATGCAAGCCCCCCACGTATTTTTAACTCTCATCATCCTTAGCACAAAGCTTTGTACATACTAGGTGCCTACCAACTGTTGACAAAACACAGTGATAAATGGACCCAAAAGAGCTGTGAAAACAGATATTACATGAAAGATAGTCACTTTATGGTTTTAATTATTGTTCTGCTCCCCAACCACAAGCTCTTTTTCTTTAATGTTCGAATTTACTATTTTTCTTTATTAGCTCACCCACTGCCTACCTTCTCTAATCCTTGCCAAATTTAGAGTCTTTCTTCCCACATCAGTGACACTTACCATCTCCTTAGTTTTGCTATAGGATGCATGCACTCACCAGAGAGAGAGAGAAAGGAGGGAAAGTGAGAAATCATCCTCTGGGGAGATGGCCACACACATTTCTCTTCTCCTCCATTCTCCTCTTGGGATTTTGGGCACACACATGTCCAGCATGATTTTTCAAGCCACTGGACTCAAACCACAGTGTCAACTATGAGGGATCCAGCTGCCTTAACCTCCATGTCACTTGCTGGCCCCTTAAGATTCAACTTTTTTTTATTTTTTTGGAGAGGTTTTTGCTATAGGGCACGTGCGCTCGCCAGACAGAGAGACAGAAAGCGAGAAATCACCCCCCAGGGGGGATGGTCACGCCACAATCCCTTCTCCTCCATTCTCCTCTCGGGATCTTAGGCACGCACGCACACGCGCCCGGCTTGAGTTTTAAGCCACCGGGTCTGGGACGCGAACCGTGGTCAACTACGTGGGAGTCCAGCGACATAGCCATTACACTAACTGCTGGTTCCCAACTTTTTTTGTTGTTTTGAGATATTTATGGTATAGGGAACATGCGCTCACTGGACAGAGACAGAGAGACAGAAAGCAAGAAATCACCCTCAGGGAAATGTCCATGCCAAGAAAAAGAAATCCTTTTTCTTCCATTTTCCTCTCAGAATTTTGGGCATACACACACACAAGCCCAGTGTGAGTTTCAAGCCACCAGGTCTGGGACCCATCTTGTGTCCAGCCCCTTAACCACTACACCACCTGCTGGCCCCAGTATTCACCATCTTTTAAAATTTTAATTTATTTCATTTTAATTATTATTATTTAATTTGACCAGAGAGAAGTAAAGAGAAAGGGAAAGTGAGAAAGTAAGCCGTCAGGTCCAGGAATTGAACCATAGTTGGTCATGCAGGAGTCCAGTGCCTCAACCACCACCACACCACCTGAAGGTCCCTATTCACCATCTTTTTTAAAAAAGAATTATTTTATTACACTTTATTTATTTATGTATTTTCATTTGACCAGAGAGGGACAGAGTGAAAAAGAGAAGGAAAGTGAAAAAGCAAGTAACCAGGTCTGGGACTTGAACCATGGTCAGCCATGTGAAGTCCAGCACCCTTAACTACCACACCACCTGCCGGCCCCTCACCATCTTTTTAATTTCCCAATATTATCACAATTTCCTTTTGTCCACTGCAGTCATTGAATTCACTGGCTCTCTCATGCTTCTTCTAATCATAATACCTCCTTTCCTACCACTCATAGGTGCTGTGACATTTAACCTGCTTTCCTACTTTCAGTCTTGGAGGACGACAAGGTCACATTACTTACTAGCCATTTACTTGAATACCCGAACTAACGCTGAACTAGAAACTTCTTCCACACTATCCTAAAGATTTCCAATTAGTCTTCCTTCTTTTCTCTCCTGCACTTTGGTACACATCTCTAATGAGTTATCAATGATTTTTCGGGTTTGGATACTCCTGTCTAGCCTCTATTTCCTGTAGTATGACTACTTATTCATAAACCTTAACTCTTAGCTCATTATTTGACAGAACCTTCCCTAGCTAAAGCTGTATGAATATAAAATCCACATTTAGCGTAATGGCTATGTCGCTGGACTTCCATGTAGTCGACTGAGGTTCGAGTGCCCAACCCGGTGGCTTAAAACTCATGCTGGGCATGTGTGCGTGCATGCCTAAGATCCTGAGAGGAGAATGGAGGAAAAGGGATTGAGGCGTGGCCATCCCCCTGGGGGGTGATTTCTTGCTTTCTGTCTCTCTGTCTGTCTGGCGAACACACCCTATAGCAAAAACCTCTCCAAAAAAAAGACTGATCTGGGACCAGCAGTTAGTGTAATGGCTATGTAGCTGGACTCCCACGTAGTCGACTGCGGTTCGAGTCCTGGACCCGGAGGCTTAAACTCACGCCGGACGCGTGTGCACGCATGCCTAAGATCCCGAGAGGAGAATGGAGGAGAAGGGGGGAGAATGGAGGAGAAGGGATTGCGGCATGGCCATCCCCCCTGCGGGGTGATTTCCTGCTTTCTGTTTGTTTCTCTCTGTCTGGCTGGCAAGCGCACGCGCCCTATAGCAAAAAACTCTCAAAAAAAAACAAAAATTAAAAAAAGACTGATCTGATGTTTCAAAGTGATTGATTTGCTTAAAAATAGCAAGTTAACTGTCTAGGGCTAGTCCCATACCACAGTGTGGCTAAGCACTGTGCAGAAGAAGATGATCCCACATGGCCCATGGGGTCAGGTGCAGCCCCAGCAGCTTGATAAATG